ATCTGGTGGGTCTTCTTCCTCATATATTTTAATTATATCGTTCTTCTATATTTCCGTTTGTCTTTCTGTTTTATGTCTGTCTAGGGGTCCTCAGACAGCGACCTGATACCAAATAAAGGTTTCACACATTACCCGTGAACACTTTGGTACAATATAGAGTGTAGGTTCGAATCCTCTTCATGACTCTGAATTTCTCATTGATATTTCCCGTTATTGTGATTTCTTTGTGCAATAATAATAATAATAGTTAAATGAATAGCTATATAATGTCATTAAAAGTGACAATAATAAACGTTTTGTACATAATCAGCTTAATTAAAGCGCATACAATGCAGTATTTCACTGGAACGTTATCAGCGTGTCGGTAATAATTGTGAGTTTAATATTCCTATTTTTAATAATATTTTTAATATTCCTATTTAATATAATATTCCTATTTTTGGGGTAATATTGTTTATCATATAAGCCTCAGGCATGAGAGTTAGAGGCTTAAATTTGTATATACTGTGTTGATGAATTAATTTGCATATTCTGTGTTGATGAATTAGTTTGCATATACTGTGTTTGTTGATGAATTAATTATTTTTATTTTGGGATGAACGTTGTGGGTAACGGTAATTCGGTTTCACGAGGAGTGTTCATTACTTTTGTTGATCGTCAGTGGACTGATAGATGCTCCGGGCACGGAAAGTTTTTTTCTTCCGTCGAAGAAGTTATATATATAAATCTTCGTTATGGCCCGGATGGACACGAACTCCTGTATTTTATGGGTTGAACGAATAGTGTCTCTGTGATGAGTGAATTGTTAAATTTGAGCTTTGGGTTAAACGTCTGCAGATGGGAAGAGGAAGAGAACTATTTGAAGAAAGCATCAAGCTATTACGTCTATATAGCACTAGGAAGGGATCAGAATAAGGTTTTGGGATGGGACGAGGGGGGGGGGGGGAATGAATGCAGCTAGGTAAAAGTCTTCGATTGGAGTAAAGTATGTTTTTGTGTTCAAAGTATATAGTTGGGTCAAAATCCGTAGCTGGGTTAAAATATGCAGCTCGACCAAAGTATGGAGCTGGGTCAAAGTCAGTATTTGAATCGAAGTCAATAGTTGGGTAAAATTCTGCAGCTGTGTCAACGTATGAAGCTGTATCAAAGTATTCAGTCGGGTTAAAGTCAATTCCACGACTCCCAACCCAAGCATGAGTTGTCAGGGATTGACAGCTGTCCCATCTCACCCGTCTAATGGGATGGGACAACTTTCCCCTTCTAGAGGGGAATATTATTGTAATATAATATTATTGTAAATTATAATTGTGCCTATAGTTAGGCCTAGAATTAGTTAATTCAAACATTTTCGTTTTGTTTTATAAAATTCTGAGCCCAGCTCAGCCCGTTCTCTTGATTTGCCTCTAAGTATAAAGTCCAAACTCAAAGCTTGACCATAAATGAACGAACCCAAACAACCCACCCAACCAATGACTCTAATGGGTAGAAAACGTTAGTATTTATGAGCCATTACTTTTCATAGAAGGTTGCATTTTTAACGTTGGTGGCCAAAACGTTCAAACCGCAATGTATTAGTTGAGAGGGCGAGTTGCTGAGCCATCAGGATCATAGCTGCCTGGAAGTTCCGTCTGAGTGCATAGCTGAAACTTTCTCAACCATAAGTAGCCGCAAAGTTGAAAAGTCAAGTGAAGATTCGATGATTCATCTGGCTTCTAAACCCTCATTTAGTAAAATTTCGAACATCTCTCCATCTATATATGAGGCGGAAGATTCGCACAAAATTAAAACACTTCAAACCGGTTCTTATCAGGATATTGCGGTCTAAACCGACAGCAAAATTTCCCGAGTTGTGTGAGTTACCCAACTTGGCTCCGAGGGCATAAATAACCCAGTATTACCCAAGCCAGGCTTCGGTACCTCACAGGGATCGAGTGGGGCCCCTGCTTAGCTGTGTGTGTGTGTGTGTGTGTGGTGTGTGTGTGTGTGTGTGTGTGTGTGTGTGTGAGTTTGTTGCTTGCAATCCCTTATTAAAACATAATTAATGTACATTCAGCAGGTGTTCCAATCCTGATCTCGAACAGGGAGACTGTTGACTGTTTATGTATCGGATTCGACTGTATTTGTGATGATTTATGTATAAGATGACAGTATTTTGACTGTTTTCAAATGTTTAATCCCAAGTTTATCCTTTGATTAATATTAGTGAATTTATGTTGTATGCAAATGTTTAGGCAAATTTACAGCCATTTTTAAGAAAAATATAAATTGACGAATCCATCAGTCTTTAGGCCGTTGAATATGTTAAATATTTAATATATTAACTGGTCTTAAATTTTCCATAATACTAATCTTTATTTTTCGTTGAGTGTGAGATAAGAATTTTTTTTACGGCAGATATCATAGATTTTTTTGGGACCGCTTGTAAAGCGAAAATTAAATTCGCGCTGTCCTAATGCTGATTAATTGATTTTTAATTCACGAATTTAGTGGAACTTTTGACTGGTCTCGCTGGATAGCGGACGAGTCGCGTTTCCGGTTAGATCGCGTGGGATTTTCCGGGATTTACCGGGAAATCGCAATTTTGGATTTTTTTTTCCTGAAAATGTTTATCGAATTTGTTTAAAATGTTTAAAAGAAATTTAATACTTCAATGGCCATGGACCTCAATGTGTACCAGAGTGACCTCTGGACGACTCCTAGGTCCTGAAGCCCTGCCTAGGTGACCCTTGACCCCTGCGTGACTCTGGATCCCGCCTCAAAGGCCATGGACATCATTTAGGTCACTCTTGCAGAAAATAGCTTGTTTACATTCAGGGCCAAAGTGCTTCTACCGGCTGGAAGAGGCTCGAGGCTCCTGGCTAATTTACACAATGACTGCTTGGGGAGGGCTGTGGGAGAGAGAGAGAGAGAGAGAGAGAGAGAGAGAGAGAGAGAGAGAGAGAGAGAGAGAGAGAGAGAGAGAGAGAGAGAGAGAGAGAGAGAGAGAGAGAGAGAGAGAGAGAGAGAGAGAGAGAGAGAGAGAGAGAGAGAGAGAGAGAGAGAGAGAGAGAGAGAGAGAGAGAGAGATTACAACTTCCATCTCATTAAAGATAAAAAAAGAATACCTTCCCTTTGAAATTAAAAATTATTGCTGCCCCACTTTTTCAAATGAAGTTGAAGTTTAGTACTAACAAATGAAGATTTCTAATCTAAGCTTTGGAATAAGCTGAGTGATTGTGTAATCAATTTAAAAGTCATGATTATCAGGGATCTAGAGCTAGGAAATAATGCATAGGTATTCTAACTAAAGCCAATATGGCATTTGGATTCCCATCTTAAAATTCAATCTTGGATTCATGTCAAGAAGCGTTTGTTTTAGCTTTTGCGAAACGCCGCTTGCGTTATCTAGAACAGTTTCGACCCTCGTTCTATGGAATGGAAGTAAATTCCTTTGAAAGTAAGAGTATTAGAAAAAGGAAGAGTAAGTTAATCCCGGGCACAAGGACGGTCGGGGATTGAACGCCGACCTGCATGAAGCGAGACCGTCGCTCTATCGTCCAGCCCAAGTGATTGGACCCGAGCACTAGGAACCTGTCATATGAAGATAGAGTAAGAAATAGGTTTACATTATCAACAAAACAACAAAAGGATGGAACAAGAAACAATTTCAAATATAAAAATAAGTTTGTATTTAGCAAATTAATTGGTAAATCCTATGGACATAGGATTGGAGATCTATGTAACAAGTTACCAATTATCATTATGTATACCTTATAGATACAAAGTTGGCACTTCATTGGAAAGATTCGGAAGTTGTAAATATAGATGGAAGGTGCTTCGTCTCGAGCAATAGGCGTCAGGTAGATTCGTTCATTTTGCCAGCTATTATGTTCATTCCATATACAAATCTTACCTACATTGCGTCATCCCAGATAACGCCAGCTCACTGTTGACCAGACCACACACTAGAAGGTGAAGGGACGACGACGTTTCGGTCCGTCCTGGACCATTCTCAAGTCGATTATGTAATCAATAATCGCCAGCTCACTCACTCAAGTCCCCAGCGGAGGAAGCAATTCACATTCGACGAACCACTCAGATTCCCCCAACAGAGGGAGCAATAATTTAAAAGGTGTGCAGTGTCGAGCAACATAGAACGGTGATACTGATTTCTGAAAGTTTAATTAGTTAAAGAAAGAGCTCTGATAATATGATTTTCAAGCAGAGGTTCTCATTTTGTTTCACCTTTCTTGAGAGATATTATGTCTGGGAAGTTTTTTATCTGTGTCTGTCTGTCTGTCTCTCTATCGACTTGTCTTATTTTCCATATTTAATAGTTTCATTTTCCTTTCAGTTTTCTTTGCTTCATTAATTTCTACCGTCTTGTCTTCCTCCATTGCTTCCTTCATTCACTACTTCATAACTTCCTTCTCTCTTCCTTCCTCTCTCCTTCCTCCCTCCCTATCCCTCCCTCCCTCTCTCCCTCCCTCAGGGTGTAGCGTTAAATCCCTCAAGATCACTCAATTACCTAGTTCATTATGTTTGCCTCCCTAGAGAGGATTATACAGGATTTACGAGACAATACTCTTCCAGGGCTCTGATATACTCCCCCGTGGCTTAGAGGCTTCACATGGGATATACCCTCCCCCCTGGGCTTCAGATGGGATATACCCTCCCCCCCTCCTGGGCTTCAGATGGGATATACCCCCCCCCTCCCTGGGCTTCAGATGGGATATATCCCCCCCTGCCTCCCCCAACCCCCCCCCCACTGGGGGCTTAAAAGCTTGAGCCTGGAAGAGTATTGTCTCATAAATCCTGTATAATCCTCTCTAGGGAGGCGGACATAATGAACTGGGTAATTGAGTGATCTTGAGGGATTTAACACTGCACCCTGAGGGAGGAAGGTAGGAAGGAAGGAAGGAAGGAAGGAAGGAAGGAAGGAAGGAAGGAAGGAAGGAAGGAAGGAAGGTTCACCCCACGTGTGTCATAATGAAGTCCAACATGATATCGTTCTGCTGCAGGAGGGGGCGTGGAGGTGCCGGCCCACGTGTGGGGGGGCCTGTGTCTGGTGCTGGTGCTGGCGGGCGTGGGCGGCGTGGGCGTGACCGTGCCCCTAGCCCTCAGGGTCGACCCCAACGCTGGCCTCGCCGACAGACTCAACGTCGCTACCACCTTTCTCAAGGACTCCCCGCTAGTCGACGGGTGAGTATGGACCTCAGGGCGTGTCACAGTCCTGTCACGGTGGGTGTCATTGTCCTGTCACGGAGGTGTCACGGAGCGTGTCACGGGCGACAAAATAAACAACACATCACACAGCAAGATTACCTAAATTGATTAATAAATAGTTAATAATTTATATCAATTAATAGCCATTTTTAAAAATGACTAATAAAATCTAAATGAACATTATCTACAAATTACAAAGTAAAAATATATATATATATATACTAGTTCGAAAATACAACAGGAAAAGACCCAACAACTTGCTTCAACTGGACTGTTTATTCAATGTTTTCCCTCTTGTCCAAGTGCATTGTTGGATAGTTACATGTTTTATTATCAAACTTATATATATATTATATATATATATATATATATATATATATATATATATATATATATATATATATATATATATATATATATATAAATGTGTCAAGCAGACAAAATAGTTCTTAAAACATCAAGACAACTCTCTTCTGGTGCTTCCAGTACATCAGAAACGAACTTTTATTTCCATACTCTCTCTCTTTCTCTTTCTCTCTCTCTCTCTCTCTCTCTCTCTCTCTCTCTCTCTCTCTCTCTCTCTCTCTCTCTCTCTCTCTCTCTCTCTCTCTCTCTCTCTCTCTCTCTCTCTCTCCCTGGTGCGGACGAGTGAATGTTTACCGAAAGGTGCTAAGCCAGCATGGGTACCACAACACAGGTTTGGTCAAGGGGGGTGAACTGGAATGGTGAAAAACACTTTCCTGCGGTCGTGGGGGCCAGGAATGGGAGGAGAAGGAGCACCTCACTGCTGCTGCTGCTGCTGCTGCTGCTGGCTGTGACAACGAAACTTTAAAACTAAAGGGAGCTTGCTGTCGGATCCTGGGTCTTGTCTTACACCCACTCACCACGCGTCTTGAAGATGTCAGATTAACAGACGAAGGTGGGGTCTTTCAAGTCGCTTGTTGCTCTCTCTCTCGCTCTCTCTCTCTCTCTCTCTCTCTCTCTCTCTCTCTCTCTCTCTCTCTCTCTCTCTCTCTCTCTCTCTCTCTCTCGCTTACCACTTCAAATGCTCCAAACTCAAATGTTGCTTGATTGGTAAGGGTGTTTGATCTGATTTAAACAGTGTTTATTGTTTTTCTCGTTACGTATTCAATGCTTAGTTGTTTATTCTGTGCCTGATCCCTTCAAGTCCTTATAGCTGAGTCTGAGGTCGAGATATCGATATTTGATTTCATAATTACTCTATAATATCGCAATATTTAAATACGTACTTATCGGTTACTGTATCAAGTTGCAATTCTTGAAGTTCAAAATTACATTCAAGCTCAAATATTTTTTTGTTTATAAAGGTTTATGCACTGATGACTGCCTATTGGGTTATCAAGTTCCTTCAGGAACTTGATAACCCTTCAGGTAGTATCCCGAGTAACTTGATACCCCAACAGGTAGTAACCCATATAACTTGATAACCCAACAGTTCCTTCAGGAACTTGATAACTTTCCTGGTATGCTCTCAAAGTCTGTTTCTTGAAGGACTAAAGTTGTGGTGTGGGAAGTCTTGCTTCCTTGAGTTGGTTGTCTCTGTCTTGCTCCGAATCATTGACGCCCTTGTGGAGTGTGTGTGTGTGTGTAAAGTGTATAGTGTTCTGCAGGTGTGGAGTGTATAGTGTGCTTCAGGTGTGGGGTGTATAGTGTGCTACACGTGTGGGGTGTATAGTGTACTACAAGTTTGGTGTGTATAGTATATTCCAGGTGTGGGGTGTATAGTGTACTGCAGATGTGGGATGTATTGTGTACTGCATGTGTGGGGTGTATAGTGTACTCCAGGTGTGGGGTATATAGTGTACTCCAGGTGTGGGGTGTATAGTGTACTGCAGATGTGGGGTGTATAGAGAACTACAGGTGTGGGCTAACTAGTGTACTATAGGTGTGGGCTGACTAATGTACTCCAGGTGTGGACTGACTAGTGTCCTCCAGGTGTGAGCTATCTAGTGTCCTCTAGGTGTAGACTAACTTGTGTACTCCAGGTCTGGACTAACTAGTGCACTCCAGGTGTGGAATAACTAGCGCACTCCAGGTATGGAGTGACTAAAAATATACATAAAAAAATATTTAAGTACATACAAAAGTCCATAAATTCCTCCATTCATCAAGGTCAAACACCAAGAAAATAAAATTTAATAATAAGGTGCACTTTTTGGTCTTTCTTCTGAAAGCTTTAGTATACGAAAAAAATATTCTCGTTTTCTTGCTGTCCGCGCGCCTTAGTTTGACTGAAGGAAGGGGCGGGTGGTTCCTGGCGCCGCATACCAACTGCCTTGTTAGTGCTGTGATGAGGGGGCGCAGGGGGTGTGAGAGGGGGGGGGGGGCACGTGAAGGAGAGAGAGGGAAGGGTAGGTGAGAGGAGAAAGGGGAGGGGGTGGGCATGAGGTTGATGAGGGAGAGCGGTGAGGGAGGGGGATAGCTAGCTACTCCCACCAACGTTAGCGAGAGTAGCACCAACATCAACTCCTGCGTCAACTTCTGCGTCAACTTCTGCGTCAACTTCTGCGTCAACACCCGCGTCAACACCTGCGACAACGGCAATATGCCGCAATATATTTACCCAGCCAGGAATTTTTCACTCACTCACCAAAATAACGTAAATATATTACCAACTGTTTACAAAATAATTAACACTTACGGTCCGTGAATTCTCATCGTCATATAATTAATGAAAACATGAACTACGCGGCGAGCGGCTTTATGTAAATGAGGCAGGAACAGTGTGGGTAGGGGCAGTGTGGGTAGGGGCAGTGTGGGTAGGGGCAGTGTGGGTAGGGGCAGTGTGGGTAGGGGCAGTGTGGGTAGGGGCAGTGAGGGTAGGGGCAGTGTGGGTAGGGGCAGTGTGGGTAGGGGCAGTGTGGGTAGGGGCAGTGTGGGTAGGGGCAGTGTGGGTAGGGGCAGTGTGGGTAGGGGCAGTGTGGGTAGGGGCAGTGTGGGTAGGGGCAGTGTGGGTAGGGGCAGTGTGGATAGGGGCAGTGTGGGTAGGGGCAGTGTGGGTAGGGGCAGTGTGGGTAGGGGCAGTGTGGGTAGGGATACACCGTCAAAGGTAGGGTGAAGAAGGGAAATGTAAGTGTGTGTTAGGGGAAGGTAAGGGATCAAAGGAGAGAGAGAGAGAGAGAGAGAGAGAGAGAGAGAGAGAGAGAGAGAGAGAGAGAGAGAGAGAGAGAGAGAGCACCTACCTTAAAGGCGGGACGCAAGAAATAAGGGGTCGCTAGAAGGATTAGAGGGTTCCCTTTTCAAGGCAGCGTGTTGAGTTTGTGCAAGATGGGGCAATGGAAAGAATTTAGTTGCATAGCGTGACTGCAACATCGTAAATCCCCCGCCTGTCGTAACGCTGACAGATGGTAGGCTGAGACTCCTTCGGAGGAAAGGCAAGGGGGAGGAGGGAAAGGGGTGAAAGATGTATATAATGACACAACGGAAAATAAATCACCAGCCAAGGAAGACGTGTTCCTTTTCTTCGTCCTTTACCTCCTTCAGTCTTCAGAAACTCCGACGGCAATTTTAAGGAAGATTGTGGTATACCAGGAGGGTATACCACAATCCAAGTATACCTGGTATACCAAGTTGTGGTATACCAGGCCAAGACTGCGGTGTATTAGTTTGTCTCTTGTCATTTATTGTGATCTATTCCGATTTTTTTTGGTAATGGAATAGATTGTTTATAACACATTTGCCTTATTTCGAACCGTATATCCATCAATTTTTTTTATCATAAACCATGATGAGGAACCATGGTCATGAACCATGGTCATGAACCATGGTCATGAACCATGGTCATGAACCATGATCATGGACCATGATCATGAACCATGGTCATGAACCATGATCATGGACCATGATCATGAACCATGGTCATGAACCATGATCATGAACCATGATCATGAACCATGATCATGAACCATGATCATGAACCATGATCATGAACCATGATCATAAACCATGATCATGAACCATGATCATGAACCATGATCATGAACCATGATCATGAACCATGATCATGAACCATGATCATGAACCATGATCATGAACCATGATCATGAACCATGATCATGAACCATGGTCATGAACCATGATCATGAACCATGATCATGAACCATGATCATGAACCATGATCATGAACCATGATCATGAACCATGATCATGAACCATGATCATGGACCATGATCATGAACCATGGTCATGAACCATGATCATGAACCATGATCATGAACCATGATCATGAACCATGATCATGAACCATGATCATGAACCATGATCATGGACCATGATCATGAACCATGGTCATGAACCATGATCATGAACCATGTTCATGAACCATGATCATGAACCATGATCATGAACCACCATCAGATATTCTGGAACAGAATGAAAGCAAATTGATCAAACAACGAGCGGACCTTATTAAACCACGAAACATTTGATCGGTGTTTAGACTCGTGAATGCATTAGGACAGCCTGAAGAAGGCTGTCCTAATGCTCGCCAGCTTAATATATCCTGCTGGTGAGAGATTCTATTAGACGTGTTTTGCCGTCGAAGAAACATTGAGTGTTATGACTCTTCGAGGGTATTTCTATCTCATTGATCTTGGTGGAGTTCGCCTTTTATTACGTATTACTCTTCTGGCGTCTATATTTCTCTCCCCTCATCCTCACTATGTTGCACTTATCTGGATCAATGTCTAGTAGATATTTGCAGACGATGAGAGACAATAATGTGGTTGAAGATATGATGAGCAAATCATACGTGGGAAGATAGAGAATCGAGGAGGTTTGGGTTCGTTTTCAACTATTATCATCTCCAATTGATTTCCTGTATGCTGTCATGTGCACTGCGTGGCAGGTAGTCTTCATTGATGCTTTGCGGGGTTGTTACGTGGCTTGCACAGCATTTCTGCAGCTTTCTTTAGGGTCGAGGGTGGCATTCTGTGCGGCCACTCATCTCTTGTCTC